GGGCGCAACAGCTGGGCGGGCCTTCCTGGGGTCGGCCGCTGACGAGCCGATCAGAGCACGACGCGCTCTCATTCTAATCAGGGCGGTCTGAGCATCCCAAAAATCCGTTCGAGAGTCCGTGCGGGCCGAAAGGTGCCAGGAACGCTCCGCGGCCTCTGAGGCCGCGCGGTCCGCAAGTTGATTTCCAGACCTGAGGAAAACCTGGTGGGCCTTTAGGCCCTCAGCCTCCGTGTCTAAGTGAGAAGCCGTCCACTCCAAGGTTACTAAACCTTCACCTCGCGAAGCAAGAGCGGTCTTAATTCGGAGCCACAAGTCCCAATTCCGCCCGCCCACCGCACTAACCCGACCCCGCTCCCAACCAGCAATCAAGGGAAAGTGGTCCGTGACATAATGAACGGGGCCAGTGGTGCCCTCAAGGCACAAGGCGAAAGCCAACAACTCAGAGCGGGGGACCGTTTGGGTTCTTCACACTAAAATTCCAGAAACGCACCCGACCACATCCCACGTCGACGTCCCTGGGGTTCTCCTGACCAAAACAACAGCCGCGCCACAACGGCGGCGCCGAGGGTCGGAGGAAAAACGTCCTCCCGAGCCGTCCCCAAAAACGACCAGGGGGTCAGGACCGACAGGGGACAGATCGGTTAGGGACGTCGAGCCGAGAGGTTCTAAACCCTCCGCTTCGGGTGGGTCCACAAACTCAGGGTGAGTATGGTTGGTCGGGGGAACACCTCTAAGCCACAAGGCAGGATTCATGTCGCAATTAACGAGTGCTTGAGACACTAGGGGAGCGGACAAGGAATAATCCTCATGTTCCTTATTACACTCGCACTCCCAAACTCGGTGCCTCAGAGTCTCAGGCGCCTTCAGACACCTGGGGCACCGCTGCTGCTCCTCCGTGCCCGTCGGGAACTGGCGCACCCGCGGCCACTGCGCTCCAGCAGCCACACATAGTGTCTGGCCAGCCTGGTCGTAGTCCCCGTTCTGCGAGAACTTCACGAACTCACGCCGAGCCCCATAGAGATCAGCACCTCCAGCGAGATCGTCAGCTCCCTCATGCTCCGAAGCTCGAGACCAAAGCTGAGCGTGAAAATCAAGCATAACATCTTCAAGCACTCCGCCAACATCCATCTCATCACCAGAAAAACCATCCAGAGATGATGTGGGGATCTTCCACTCAGCAAATCCACCATGCTCTGGGCGCCACCAGGAAGTAGCTGAGGATGGCTTCCAGCCAGCATCAAGCAACGTGGCGATCACTGCAGACACTGGTCCCTTGACCAATCGCCAGCGCCCTGACTGCCCCGCAACCTCCAGACGACGAAGAACTTTCGGCCAGGATGTTTCAACTCTCTGATGAAATTCAGGGTGAAGGCGCCAGACCGTGAGATACTCAGCCAGAAGCTGGCGCCTCAGCTCCAAGGCAGGATCTTTCTGACCATACAGTATGGCTAAAGTACTGGTCAAGCACCTGCCCTTCAACGGGCCTGCCCCTGCAGTAGCCGCCTGCCGTCGAAGGCGCAGGAACTGGTATGGTGCAAGGCCTCCCAGGAGGAGGAGGAGAAGGAGGAGGAGGAGGAGGAGGAGGAGGAGGAGGAGACGGAGGAGGAGGAGGAGGAGGAGGAGGAGAGGAGAGGACGAGAGGACGAGGAGGAGGAGGAGGCGGAGGAGGAGGAGGAGGAGGAGGAGGGGGAGGAGGACGAGGGAGGAGGAGGGAGGAGGAGGAGGAGGAGTAATAGGAGGAGGAGAAGGAGGAGGACGACGACAGGAGGACGACAGGAGGAGGCGGGAAGGGAGGCGCTGCTGCGTTGCTCTGGGCGGGGGGAGCCCCTGGCACCTGGTGTCGCGCGTGTGGGGTCTGGCCCTCGCCGCCCGACGTCAGCACCCTTCCAGAAGAGCCGCCTCGGGAGCCGCGCGAGAGGAGCAGTGGTGCCGCGAGGGCTGCCCGCGTCGGCACTGGTCACGAGGATCTCTGCACCCACCGGCGGCGGGCGACTGCACTCGAGACGAGACGTCATCCTCACCTCCTGCCCCCGCTCGCGACACTTGGCTCCTGAGGGCCAGTTCGGTGGCGAGAGCGGGTCTCGCGCGAAAGGGGCCGCTATCCGAAGCATCAGTTTGGAGACCATTGACGCGCAGCCTAATGGCCAGCACGCCTGGACGTGGACGGTGCCATTGAAGCCTTCGGTGGAGCCCCCTATGGGTCCACGCAACGCTGTACTGGGTGGGGGACACGCCTGCGAACACCGCCACTGGGGCCCTCGGTGGAGCTACCTAGCCACGAAGCGCTGTGCTGGGCGGGGGGCCCGCGTGCGAGAGCAGCCACTTGGGCCTTCGGTGGAGCCCCCATATGGGGCCACGAGACGCTGTACTGGGTGGGGGTCCAGCCTGCGGCCTTTGGTGGAGCTCCCTACGGGGCCACGAAACGCTGCACTGGGTGGGGGTCCAGCCTGCGAGAGTAGCCACTGGGCCTTTGGTGGAGCTCCCTACGGGGCCACGAAGCGCTGCACTGGGCGGGGGGCCCGCATGCGAGAACAGGCCGTCGGTGGATCTCCCTATGGGGCCCCGAAGCGCTGTACTGGGTGGGGGTCCCGCGTCCGAGAGCAGCCTCTGGGGCCACCGGTGGAGCTCCCTGTGGGGCCACGGAGCGCTGTACCGGGTGGGGGAGACGCGTGCGGATGAGGGCAGAGGCAGGGAGGGGGAGGAGGGGGGAGGGGGCTGGAGGGCGGGAGGTGGGGTGAGGTGAGGACGCGGGGCGCTCTCTCCAATACGAGGACCCAGCACCACAAGATGGTTGGGAAAGAGAATGAGATATTCACGTGTTTTGAGGGGCAGGGGGAGGAGATGGAGGAGCGTGATGATACTAATGCGAATAAATAGGAGTAGGAGGTAGACCAGCGTAAGGCCATGGTGCATCAACGATGTTGCAGTACCCCCCTCCAAGTTCCCTCTTCATATGTCCCTGAAAGAATAAAGCTTTCATTGTTGAAAATCGCCCAAAACATCGCTCCTGCGACTTCAACGCCACGGGACATATGTGACTGTCGCGTCCTGACGAATCTAATCCATGTCGGAGCACCATTCCTGGGACTTCACCGCAAAGCAGTGTGGCTTTTGCGTCCTGACTCCCAACTCGTGCCAGACAGCTGTGCCTGGGACTTCGAATGACTGACCCTTTGGAACTGTCGCAATCTTTGAAAACGAATGTGCGCGGCGTTAACGCGTGATCCACATTTTGAAAACCACCCGCCCTGCACCCGTGAAGCTGTTGCAAACTGTTCAAGCGAATATGCTCGGCACTAAGGCGAAAACCTATGTTGAAAACCACTCACCCTGGGTCTGTGAAACTGTTTCAACTTTCAAGAAATACCATAACTGGCGAGGCAGTCTCAATCAAAACACCCTGCCTGCCCTACCGACACGTCTGGGGGCGGCGCGACAAGGAGGAGTTATTCGCAAGGAAAAACGGAACATGTGTCCCAGAACGACTCCTTGCTAGAAGAAGGGGGGCGATGAGGAAAAGGAGGAGGAGGAGGAACCGAGGAAGAAGGGTGAGACGGAATAGGAACAGCACGGGCCGTATGTTCCCCTTCTCTGTCTCCGTCCCCGTTTGCCCCCTGGCCGTCCTCCTATGTCCTCCTCCCCCTTCCCCTGCTCATCTCCCTGCCCCTCTAGCTTCTCTCTCCTCTCCCTGTTCCCCTCACACCTCTGTTCTCCCTCCACCTCACCATCCGCCATCCTCTACCTGCTCCCTGCTTCTGCAGGTGCTGAGACACCGCCGACGGGCCGTCCTGGCACCCTTTTGGGCCGTCTGGGGCCTCGTTCGGGCAGTCTTGGGCCGCTCTGGAGGCTCTTCTGGGCTGTTTGGGGCCCCACTGGGGCACCCAGGGCCCGACTTCGGGGGGCCTGTGGCTGGCGTGGTGGGGCCGTCGTGGGTCCCTCTGGAGCGCTGCAGACGCCATCTGAAGGATCACATACGGTGGGAGCGACAGGGAACCCTTAGATACAGTGAGCGGCTTGAATAAGGAACACTTGGTTTTCAAAAGGGGCTCGGTCGATCCTTAGGCTTGCATGCATTATTTTTCGTTCCTGATGTGTTATGTATTACTTACCGTTCCTGATGCGTTACTTTTCCCTTGGGTAAAAAGGGGCTTCGTTTCTTATTGATCGTTCCTTAGGTCAGGTCGATGACTGTAAGGAATCCAGGGTCTGGAGGCCAGCGGAGCTCCAATCGTGGATCGGCCATGGATATCACCGCCGCCCCCGTTGGATAAGGAAGCCCCCAGGATCTACCGCCTCTCGGGCACAAGCCTCGACGAACGGGCCCCCACCGCACCCATAGAGCCAAGAAGCCGTACTCCGCCTGGTGCTTCTGTTGATTTGGGCTGTCTGGGGCCTCTGCTGGGGCCTCTGTTGGGACATACTGTGATCTCCCTGGGGAGTCCGGGAGAAAATTGCTCGCTCCTTTTTGACGTGACAGATCCCCAACGAAAGATATTAGACAACCGTCTTGCAATGCCGGTTGACTGCAGCTTGTAAGAAAAATCGAAGGCCCCTCTTGTGTGGACGGTATCATGACTCGGCACCATCATGCTCATCAGGCGACGTCGCACTTGTCGCGAAACGCCTTCTCGAGGAAACTAGGAAGGCACCCTCCTGTATGGCCGGCACCATGCTCTGGCACGATCAGCCAGTCGAGGTCGCATTTGTTGCGAAAACCCTTCTCAATGGCAGTGACGAAATCATTGACGGCGGACGCAGGGTCGGGAAAGGGCGAGGAATTGGTGTAGGAAGAAGGACAACAAAATTATGGAGGAAGCAGGGACGAACTGACAGGCAGCGGGGGCAAAATCAGCCTTGCGACTGTGCTGCCCACGCAACGCTTCTACCGTAGGAGACGCTCCATGGGAGACATCAGAGAGCACGCTGGGGAATCGACTTGACTGTGGCTTCAAAGCAAAATCTGCGAGCTCAGGCTGGGCGCGCTGCTCACAGGTCTTCATCGGCAATGTCCCTCCCCTCCTTGGGCAAGAGCTCCACGCGACCGCCATAGCGCTCGAGGATGCTCGTCGGCTTCTTGAAAACGCTCGCCTTCCACTCCTCTAGAGAAAGAAACAAAGGCATAAACACTAACTTTCGGATGTCCGCGCAGCGTTCTCGCATCTGCGCCGGACCCCGCTCCCTGGCGCGCGGAGCGCGCCAGGGGCGGCGCCAGGGGTGGCGCCAGGGGCGGGGCCAGGGGGGGGGGGCCCAGCGCAGATCCGAGAAATCCGCGCGGAGAGTGGAAAATCTATGTGTATGCAGGTTCTCTTCCATCCATCCTCATATCCCTCCACCTGCACACCGCACGCCTTGGCAGTGCCGTGGCAGATCTTCATGGCGCGGGTGACGTCTGGAATCTGCAGGTCCGGCAGCTTGGTCTTGGCGATCTCCCGCAGCTGGTCGATGCTGATGGTGCCGACGAACTTGTTGTTGGGCTGGTCGGAGCCCTTCTCGGCCTTGGCCGCCTTGATGAGCAGCGCTGCCGTGGGCGGCGTCTTCAGCTCTATCGTGAAGCTCCGGTCGCTCATGAAGCGAACGATGCAGGGAACGGTCTCGCCCACCTTGTCGGCGGTCAGGGCGTTGTACTCCTTCACGAAGAAGGCGACGTCCGACGAAGCGAGACACAGCACAACCACAGCCCGTCGGAGGCCCGCGCGGACTCCGTGGCTCGGCGCCGGACACCGCTCCCTGGCGCGCGGAGAGCGCGCGAGGCGAGCCAGGCAGGGGTCGTGCCAGAGGCGCCGCTGGGGGGCCCGACGCAGAGCCAGGAACTCTCCGCGCGAGCGCGGAGAGCGCGCGAGGCGAGCCAGGCAGGGGTCGTGCCAGAGGCGCCGCTGGGGGGCCCGACGCAGAGCCAGGAACTCTCCGCGCGAGCCTCCGAAGGTCTATGCTCGCGCCGCGCTCTCTTCCCCGAGCTGTTCGCGCCGAACTTGCCGAGCGCGGGGCCCACGGGGGGCGCCGGCGTGGCCTTTGCGGGCCCGGCTGGCATCGAGAGCCGGGAGGCTGGGGCGGCTCGGAAGTGCGTCGCGCAGGCCCGCACCGGCACGGCAGAGCCAGGATCGCATCGGACAGGCCGCGCCAAGACGCACCACCGCGCCATGCGAGGCGGAGGAGGCGAAGGAGGAGGAGGAGGAGGAGGAGGAGGAGGAGGAGGAGGAGGAGGAGGAGGAGGAGGAGAGGAGGAGGA